CGGCTCACCGCAACCTCCGCCTCCTGGGTTCAGGCAATTCTTCTGCCTCAGCCTCCTGAGTAGCTGGGATTACAGGCATGCGCCACCATGCCCAGCTAAGATGGAGTTTTACTCTGTCACCCAGGCTGGAGTGTAGTGGTATGATCTTGGCTCACTGCAACCTCTGTCTCCTGGGTTCAAGTAATTCTCCTGCCTCAGCCTCCTGAGTAGCTGGGTTACAGACAGCCACCACCATGCCTGGCTAATTTTTGTATTTTTAGTAGAGATGGGGGTTTCACCATGTTGGTCAGGCTGCTCTCGAACTCCTGACCTTGTGATCAGCCCGCCTCAGCCTCCCAAAGTTCTGGGATTACAGGCATGAGCCACCACGTCCAGCCATGTTTCATTTCTTGAACATGGACATGTCTAGTCTGTAAAAACTCACTGAGCTGCACAATTCTGATTTATATACAATATATGTTGTACTTTTTTTTTTTTTGGGCTGGAGATGGGGGTCTCACTATTAACCAGGATGGTCTTAACACACCTGGCCTCAAGTGATCCTCCCACCTCGGCCTCCCAAAGTGCTGGGATTACAGGTGTGAGCCATTGTACCCGGCCTATACACTGCACTTTAATAAAAAAGTTTACTTAAAACAACTGGCTTGAGTTTCATCACGGAGTATCACATTGCTCAGGCCCACAGAATAGGTATGGGCTATAGATGCCAAAATATACCACTGTTATGAAAACTGCCTTTATGCCAGAATAAAGCTTTGAGTCTAAACCACATACTTGTTCAAATAAGCTGTGAGGGTTGGCATTATCACACAAGACAATATTATGTAAGCCTCAAACCAGATTAAGTCAGTGGTCAAGCCAGGAACAGGCCACTTTATTTCTAACTTCTACCCGAGTAGGTGGAATCACCACAATGAGGTCTAAAATTTCTATCTTTCAAGCTAGGACTAGTCCAGATAAAAGCTTTTAACTTCCAGTGTCATCAGCTCTTCAACAGATAGAAGGCTAGGGCCATATCTGGGCTTCCTACATTAGCAACACTTAAAAAAAAAGATACACTCCTCAGATTGGTGATTTCCTTAAGGGCCCAGAAGAAATGCTTCATGAAAAAGCTTTTGGCTCACAGCTCAAGTACCTAATTTATGAAGTGAACTGGAAGCAGGCAGCACAAAATTACACAAAGCGCATGACAGCATCCTGAACCCTCACTTACTTCCTTTCCCTCAGTTCTACATATTCATCCCCGTTCTGTGTGTTTTCCATGTCTCACATCACCTCTTGAGTTCCAGTCCCCTTTCCATAAACTATTTCTAAATATTAGGAAGGAGCTATAAATCCCACTGGTTAAACAGAAGTCCTGCCCAGAGAAAATTCTGTTTTAAGCACTAGGAATTTCTGTTCTGTCATGGATGGAAATGGACTATGACATTTTAATCCCTATCTATACTTTGAAACAGCTGGTAGTAATCCAGAAATGTGCCATTTGGGAAATTAACTGTGATACCCCCTTCCCTGGTGTGTCCCCAATACCAACCAGTGACCAAATGTCCATGATCTAAGCCCTGGATAGGATAGTTTGCACAAAGCAATGCCACAAAGCAACTATCACCTCCATTTTTCAGATAAACAGGTTCAGAGAGTTTAAGGTAACACAACCAGTAAACTGCAGAGCCACGATTTGAACCCTACACAGACTCTAAGGCCTGTGCTCTATTAATAAAAGAAGCAGTCCCGAGTCCAGGTAGCTCTAAGGTCCTCAACCTCACACATCCTCTGTAAATCAGAGGTCTAAGCACTCACTAGGTTCTTTGAGACGTAGCTGAATGGCAGGGCTGTCACTCTTGTCTCGCTTTATGCCCAGCACTTCCCGTTCCCATTCTCTCTCTCGGTTTTCTTCTTCAATTTGCCGTTCAGCTTGGGAACAGATCCGTAGCAGCCTCAGGCAGAGAATCTGGTGCAGTCGCATAAAAATATACCAGTTGTTATTGACATAGAAGAGGTTGTATACTTCATCCATTCCTCTTAATTTTTGAGCTGCTGTGTTACTAAACAGTAACTTGGACTTAGGGGGACTGCCCCCAACACCATTGTGCTTCTTAGCTGCCCCTGTGGCTTCATCTACATCCATCTCTTCTTCTTCCTCTTCCTCCACATCCGAAAGATCACCTCTCTGGGCGAAGAGCAAATCTGGAATAAAATGATGCATGATTTGCTTTATCTTATACTTGTCCTCTTTCTGAATGCCTGTCTGCCTCTTCACATGATGGATAATCAGAGCAGCAGCATCTTCCAGTATTTGTTTGTCTTCATACGCAAGCGAGAGGTGGGGCCCAACAGGTACACCAGCATTCTCTTCCGTAGCCTGCTCTTGCCTCTGATGGGACAGAGACATGAAAGTATTCTGTGAGATGTCTACAGCAACAACATGCCTAAGAGACCACACCAGCCATACATCCCATTATCCACCACAGTGTCTATATTTTTCTAATCAAAAGCTTAGGACCTGGGGCTGGAAGCAGTGGCTCAGCCTATAATCCCAGCACTTTGGAAGGCCAAGGAGGGCAATCACTTGAGGTCAGGAGTTTGAGATCAGCCTGGCCAACATGGTGAAACCACATCTCTACTAAAAATACCAAAATTAGCTGAACATGGTGGCTGATACCTGTAATCCCAGCTACTTCAGATGCTAAGGCAAGAGAATCACTTGAACCTATGAGGCAAAGAATGCAGTGAGCCGAGATGGTACCACTGCACTCCAGTTCGGTCAACAGAGTGAGAGTGTCTCAAAACAAAAACAAAACTCAGGACCTGAATTTTTGTCCCTCTTCTAGAAACAAACAGGTAATGACAGAGACGCTGTTTGATGTCAAAATACAGGTACCTTCTACACCCCGATGACTTACAGGGAGAGTGGAACGGAATTGGGACCATCATCTTTCTGTCTTTTTTTTGACAGGGTCTTACTCTGTCACCCAGGCTGGAGTGCAGTGGAGCAATTTTGGCTCACTGTAACTTCCACTTCCCAGGTTCAAGCCATTCTCATCCTTTAGCTTCCTGAGTAGCTGGGATTACAGATGTGTGCCACCACGCCCAGCTAATTTTTTTTTTTTTTTTT